CCCCCCCCCCTCGCCAAAAACCCCAGCCAGCCAGCCAGCCCCTAACCCTTAACCCCGCAGAACAACCCCTTCTACACAGACAGCAACACCCTCGCCATGCGCAAAGGCAGCGACAACCAGCAAGTCATCACCATCCTCTCCAACCGCGGCAGCGCCAGCAGCAGCTACACCCTCACCCTGACGGGCACTGGCTACGCCGCCGGCACGACCCTGATCGAAGCCTACACCTGCACGACCCTCACCGTCTCCTCCAGCGGCAGCCTCGCCGTCCCCATGGCCTCCGGGCTCCCGCGCGTCTACCTCCCTGCCTCGTCGGTCGACAAAAGCAATCTCTGCGGTAGCTCCTCCAGTCCCACAACCACCGCCACAACCACCCTCAAAACCACAACCACCACCACCTCCTCCTCCTCCAAAACAACAACAACAACAACCTGCGCAGCAACAACCTCCCTCCCGCTCACCTTCATCGAACTCGTAACCACCACCTACGGCGAAGAGGTCTACCTGACGGGCTCCATCGCCGCGCTGGGCAACTGGGCCACGACGGCCGGCACGGGCGGACGGGTGGCGCTCAGCGCGGCCAACTACTCCGCCGCGTATCCGGCGTGGTCGGCCACCGTGTCGGTGCCGCTGGGGACCAGCTTCGAGTATAAGTTCTTCAAGGTCGGGAGCGACGGGAGCACGATCACGTGGGAGAGTGATCCCAATCGGTCGTATGCGGTCACGGCGACGGCGTGTGCGGGGGCTACGGCGACGGTGGTGGATAGTTGGCGGTAGGGGTGGAGACCAACTTAGCTTTGGGGGAGGGCAGGAAATTCGAGTGGGGGGTGGGTGGGAGCGGGTTGGTTGGTTTGAGAGTTGCGGTGGCTCAGGGATCACTTGTTTTTGAAGGCTGGGAAATAGTTTATGTTGGGTCGTACAGGGGGGAGTCAAGCCATTGAGTCTTATCCCGCTTGATAATGGATCTGATTTTACTTGCGTACATACACAGTCCTTTGACTTCTATGATTCTTTCAGGGAGAGAGAGCAAGAATACATAAGGGGATTGGATTGGGATTTTGCATGTTCAAGAGATAAAGTATGTAGAGCTTCATATCTCGAGCTCAAGTGGGGAATTTTAGACTGAGTAATCAAGGGTAGGGTAACAGAGGTATAACGATCATCAAACACGTAAATTCGCCGAGTAGACTCGCCCGGAGACCCGTCTACCGTGTGGTTCGTAGATGGTATTTCAAAGAAGGCGAGGCAGGCGATTATGTAGTTGAACTGTGCAGTTCGGAGAATGGAATGAGGTGGGACGAAGAATGAAGGAACGGGGTATTCGGTATCTCTGGGATGGGAGATGTGGAATGACAAGATATTATGGAAGAAGACGACTAGAGCTAGAAGTGGTGTTGGTTGGGACGGTATGGCTGTATCGAAGGGGAGTATGCCCGTTCGGCTAGTTCGGGGGGTTGGGTTGATGGAGGGTATGGGGTGGAGGAATAAGTATGCGCGGCGGGAGGGGGTTGTGTCATCGGAGCATAGGCTTCCGCTGGAGAGGACATGGCATGTGTGGTGGTGGGAGCGAACATCTGGGCTGTCGAATGCGTTGTCACCGGAGAATACGCCTCAGCGGAGGAAGACAGTGCGTGGGTGACTGGAGAAAAGGCTACATAGCCGTGCTCCGGGGGTACGGTCGTCTCCGGCATGTCGTTCTTTGGCTGTGAAGGATTATGGTTGTGATCGTGGTGAGGATCGTGGTGTTGACGCTCGTGCTCGTTATCGGATACGGCGGCATGCGATTCCTCGAATGGATTGAAGGCCGTGTAGCCTTCATGGCTCGTGGAGCTGATCGGGGACGTGGCTCCCATGGCTGTATTGTGTGCTGCGTCGACGGGCGGTTGTCCAGCGTAGTAGTTATAGATGTGTTCGTGACCTTGATCGTGCTGGTGTTCATAACCGTATGGTTCATCTTCTGGCGGGTGTCTATTGTCAGAATCTTGATGCGAGTCTGTGGCCGATGGGTTGAAGGCAATGTAATCGTTCGTGTTATGCGAGGCTTCGTGCGAGCCAGCAGGGGAGGCTTCACCTATGTGATCAATAGCATGGGGCTCGTCGTGGTGCTCAACGTGGTGCTCAGCGAGGTGCTCAGCATGTTGGTCGAAGTGCTCGTCATAGCTATGGTGTTCAGTTAAAGGCGAAGTGATGTTGGCAGACGGCTTGAACGCGACATAGCCAGCATCTGGGTCATGTGTCGATTGGAGTGTCTCAACCGTGGTGCTACTCAATGCCAGGTGATCTTCATGCTGGCTGTAACCACCGTTGTATCCATCCTGTTCGGGAGCGATATCGCCAGCAAGCGGCATTGGAGAGCTCCGGTCGGCCGGGCTGAACGCAGTATAAGTGTTCTCAGTCCCTGCCCCAACCGGAGACGTCGTTCTTGTCTCCCAGCTTCCCGCCGGAACAATAGGCGGAGGAGATCTCGTATTGCCAGGACCAGCTGGTGTGAATGACCGTCCAGGATATTCATGACCATCCATAGGATATGGGGTGCCACTCAGCTGATTTTGGGGAGAGAATGGCTGATTTGGCATTTCCTCCACAGGGGAACGAATTGCGCCGGGTGTCAATGATCGTGCGTTTGGTCCAGTTGCCGGGCTGTAAGAACGGAAAGGAGTGCTTGACTGTGGATAATAGGCCTCTTGGTTTGCGAAGGGATTGTACCCAACACCAGAGTCCTGCTGCTGGGTCGCATACGGCATGTGACCCTCATCATGCATGGCAGAAGGCGGTCCCGGCGTGTAGTTTGATCGAGACATTGGTGTCTGGATACGTGGCATAGGTGGTGCAGGTGACGCTCGATCCATGCCCCTATATCCCGGAGCAGAAGGCGGGGGAGTGAAATTCTGACGCGACATGGGAGTGTGAGACCGAGGCATCGGTGGGGCTTGTTGCTGAGGACCGGGCGTACGAGTTGACCGCATAGGGATCTGGCTGCGCGGATCGATTGGCTCTTCATACCCCTGAGCTGGGGGCGCCTGGTTGAAGTTCTGGCGTGGTCTCGGAGTCTGGGAAATCGGCATTGGAGCAGGCCCTTGATGAGGAAGAGGCGGCACGGGAGGCGCAGGGGTTCCATGTCGATCCAGGGGGCTGTATGTAGACACGGCAGTACTGCCGGACATAGAAGCAGCATCTGAAAAGGAAGACTGAGTCACCGTGCGACTAAGTGCTGGGGGCTTATCATCGAACGTGGACAGGTCGGGAAGAGTTGGTTTGCGGTCTGGGGCAGCTGTGCCGGGGCGAGACGAGTATGCTGGCAACGTCGTTTGCGTGGTGCTCCGCGAGATGGTCGTGACTATCGGCGTCTTATCATCATCGTGCATCCCAACTGTCGGCAAAGTGGGCTTCCTCTCGATACCCATATTGGGTTGGGTGGGCTTCCGATCCTGGAGGGCCACGCCTTTGGCCAGTGCCTTGTTGACCTTCTTCCGGACAATCTGCGTCAACCGCGAATTGATCTTGCGCTTGCAATATCTCTTCAACGATCCATCTTCGGTGGGAATGTGGTGCCAGAGGAACAATAAGTAGAGTACAACGGCCAGCAGAAGCTTGAGCATTGACAAGACCCAAATGACCAGAGTGAAGATCATGCCGACCAGGACAATGGCCTGCCGAGTGTTGTCTTCCGCCAAGACCTTGATGTTGTGAAAGAGCTGCGAAGCAGTAGATCCGTCCGTACTATCGGTGTTGCTGCCACCCGGGAGCAAATCCATTTGCATGACCGAGTAGAGAGTGATCGCATTGACAACCTGTCGCGGGCCATCGGCGAAGATTGTACTCATCCAGGCTACAACAAGGTCAGTTCCATCATCATCAACCAAACCACAAGACCAAAGGAACTCACATTCAAAAGAGAAGTAAGCAAATAGCGCCACGTACTCCGCGCCCTTTCGACTCTTCGTCAACTCCGCGAAGACCAAGAAGCGCCTCCACCCACGACCATTCTGCCCCATGCGGATACTCTGGATGCGCACCGCGAGCGAATCCAGATAGCTGTGCGCGATGCTCCCGGAGCGCATCGCGCGGATGGCGCGCAGCCAGCGGTAGATCAGCAGGGCGAACGAGACGATGATGCAGACGGCGAAGATCCAGCGCGAGATCTTGAACGGGATCGCCGGCTCAATGGAGCCCGCCCATCGCGAGAACGCCAGCAGATTGACGGCGGTAAAGGTGTCCACGCCGTAGACCGCCACCGAGACCAACAGAAACACATAGATCAGAAAGTACGAGAATCCAGACCAGCAGGATTCGGACTTGAAATCGCTCAGGTTGATATAATCCCATTGTTCCTCCAAGGCCACGGGCCCTTTCTCGCGATCGCCCGAACAGAACATTATAAACGATGAGCACGACGGAAAGTCGAACTATTTGCTGATAAAGAAAAAAAGAGAATGTGTCGTGTGAATTTGGACTTTCGTCGGACCAGCCGGGGAAAGTCAGTCACACGTCGCAGGCGTAGGCGACGTAAGGTCGGTCTCGACAATGGTTTTGTATGCGCCGAGGCAGTTCAAAAGAGCGACGGAGACGGGGGGATGAAGATGGCGGCAAGTCGCGTCAACAGCGCATAGCCGCTGGACAATGGGTGGATGTGTTAATCGACATGGACGAATCGTACCTGAGCCATCGACAGCCCGTCTGCGATATGAGGATAGCGCTGAAACGACAACGTGCGGCGGCAGTAGCAGCAGCAGCTGTCAGCGTAGCGTTAAAGGTGCCAAGATAGGGGGAATGAGTGTTGGGCGCGTGCGATTGATGTGGCTCCTCACCACATACAAGCGGCCAGAGATCGAGGAAGAGACAGCGAGAGAGCGTGTGGGAAAATCAGATCACAGACGGCAGGAAAGAGAAAAAGAGGAATAACTAATATCGACCACCCAAGCGAGAGACACTCGGGGGTCGGGGAAGAGGAATCGCATGAGTAGTGAACTGGTGGGTGTAACTAGAAAGAATGTGGAGAGTTGGCCGTCAGGAATGGGAGAAACCAGGCTGAAAGAAGGTGGCCGGCAAAAAAGATGAAACATGGGGAGGGCGCTTGCCATGCACTAATCAATCTATTGAGCACTGGTCCCTTGGGTCAGCCCAGTTGCTGATGGGGCTAATGGAGCTGGTAACTTGGTAGAAGCCCCCTGATTGCGCTACAATTGCACTAGTTATCGCGTGCAGGAAGATTGAACAGGCACCGTTATCGCCCGAACCCCCTGATCCACTCAAAGATTCCAAGTGCTGCGATCAGCACGGTCCTCCTTGCACGTTGCAACTGGTTCGTCTCCCTGCTTGGCGGTTTCAGAATAACAGTGCTCACTCACAATTTAATTGTTTAATTTGTTATCTTCCTTGATACTCCATACATGAACATCCTGTACTGTACAATATGGCAGACTGAGGGTTGGGGGTAGAAAGCATGAAGCATGAAGCATGAAGCATGAAGCATGACAGTCATCCATCGGCTTGACCGATAAGCTGCCTGCCCCTGAACTCAACAATGCCCATCGACGAAAAGAATGCGATGCTTGACTGAGCCACCAAGAAGGCTGGGCTGATACTAGAACCAGAACCAACGTCGTCATTGCCATAAGCCAACCAAGTCGCCAGATACATGTCCAACAATTTCGACACGCCAAGCTTTGCGCCCCCTCTTCATTCAACAACCGTCATAGACACAACCTACCCGCTCAATCAACGTCACATAGATCGGAGGCAAGTCCGGCTACCCTGCGTCTGGGACGCGGGGTCTTCGCATTCGAGATGCTAATGCGCAGCTTGCGGAGTTCCTCTTCCAACTCGCGGTTCTCCTTGGACCAGCGGATCTGATCCTCCGTGCGTGCTCTCTTCTCCCGGTCGTACATCGACTTGATCATCGAGAAGTCAGCCCGGAGCTTCTCCTCGACCTTCCCTGCGGGACTGGCCACCTTCGCCTTCTCGAGCTTCTCCTTCAACTCGTTGATCGTTGTCTGTTGCTCGGAAACCTTGACCTGGCACTGCTGGAGGACCGTGGTGACAGATCCCACGCTCGCGGTCGGTCGCTTGAGAATCGTCTGCTCGTCGCGGGCTTTCTCCTCCCATTGGGCCAGGCGGACCTCGAGAACCTTGTTGACTCGTTCCGCGGTGTCGGCCCGTTCCTGGCCACGCTGGGCGTCCCTCATCGCCAATCCGACCTGAATCTGGAGGGTTCGGTTCTCCTCGGTGACCTCGGCGAGCTCCTTCTCCTTCATGAACGCCTGGGTTCGCGCCTGCTCAGCCTGGGCGCGCGCTTCCGCCAGAGACATGTTGCCGGCCACATCGCCTTCCTGCATGCTCTGTTGCGCGTTGACTTGGCTGAATTGCGCTTCTGCCAACTGTCTATGAGCTTCGTCGAGGCCGAACTCTAACTTAGCCACCATGAGTTGTCCTTCAATTTCAATCGAGTTATTCTCCTCTCGAAGCGCATTGTTTCTCGCAATGGCGGCGGCAAGCTCCTGCTGCATGGTTTCCAGCAATTGGCTCTGCTGCGGGTTAGCTTCGTGTGAGACCCGGAAAGCCTCATACTCTGCGATGATTTGCTGGTTCTGAGCGAGGGCGGCATCCCGCTCCTGCTGCAGAGTCTCCAGGGACTGGCTATGTTGCAGGTTTGCTTCATGTGTGACCCGGAATGCTTCGTACTCTGCACTGATCTGCTGGTTTTGAGTGAGAAGCTCCTGGTTCTTCATAAGAAGCTCCTGACGTTGGGTTTCACTCTCACGACCGTGCTCCTCTGCAGCGGCCAGGTGCTTCTCAACGTCAACAAGCTTGTCAGCACAGGCCTGTAGTTCATCGGTGCGTGTCTGGAGTGCATCCTTGAGCGATTGCAGTTCCTGCTCCTGCTCCTGGTTGAGACGTTTCTGGCTTTCAATCGCAGCTTGCTGATTGTCTCCCTCTGCGGCAAGCAGACGTGACTCAACGGAAAGACACCTTTCAGTCCAGATGTTTAGTTCGTCGGTTCGGCTCTGAAGTTCATTCTTAAGCTTCTGGCTTTGAGCATCGCGCTCGGCTTCGTTCTGTTGACTATGCTTTCGAGCCGTGGTCAGTCGTTTTTCTGCGGCTGCGAGCTTATCAGTCCGGATCTGAAGCTCAATCTTCAGTGACTGGATTTCCTGGCTCTGGGCAAGTTTCTGTTCACGCTCGGGCTTGGCCTGTCGACTATGCTTTCGAGCAGCGGCCAGTCGCTTCTCTGCATTTGCAAGCTCATCGGCGCGGGTCTGGAGTTCGCTCTTCAGAGATTGGAATTCCTGGTTCTGCATATGGGTCTGTTCGTGCTGGGCTTTATCCTGTCGGCTATGCTCTTTAGCTTCGGCCAGTTGCTTCTCTGCATTCGCAAGTTCATCGGTGCGGGCTTGGAGTTCATTCTTCAACTGATCATGTTCCAGTTCGCCCTGCTGACTACTCTTCTCTGCGGTAGCCAGCCGCTCTTCCGCAGCTGCAAGCTCATCGGTACGGGTCTGAAGCTCATTCTTCAACGACGAAAGCCCCTGGGTCAACAGCTTCTCGCATTCAATCTCCACACGTCGGCCACGCTCCTCCGCAGCGGACACGCGAGTCTCAGCCTCAGAGAGCTTGTCGGTGAGGACCGTCAGTTCATCGGTGCGAGTCTGGAGCTCATCCTTGACCGTCTGAAGCTCCTTCTTATTCCTAGCGTTGCTCTTCTTCTTCACGCCAGCCAGCTGCTTCTCCAGCTGCACGATACGGTCTTTCAGGAATTGCTCTCGTGCCGCGTCCACTTCATCCACGACGACAAACTGGGCCTCCGCTCTGGCCATGGTGAGGTTATTTTCCAGCTGGACGACCTTCTTCCTCAACTCGTCGATGATGCCCGCGTGTGCGTTTTTTGCTTGGCGGAGCGCGCTCTCGACCCTGCGGGAAGTCAAGTCGGTCTGGTGACGAACCGTCTCCTCCAGCCGCTGCTTCTCCGCCTGGAACTCTGCCTCCTTCGTAGCCATGCACTGCTGTAGTTGCTCATTCGCACTCTCGAGGGACTTGGACAGATTCCATAGATACGTCTCGCATTCAGTGGGTTGGGGCTCGCCGTCCACCACCGCCGGCACCGCCCCCCGGCGGAGAGCGGCAACTTTGTTGCAGAGGGTATAGAAGAGCGACAGCCCTATAACAAGGGCTGGGATCAAGACAGCCATCAAAGCCAGAAGGCGGAGGTGGCGGGCCTCGCTGTCCACAGGCGGCACCAGCCACTGCGCGCGGTCTTTGAGCGTTTCGTACAGCTCCAGGCCCGTCTCCACGCCGGAGCAGCGGTAGCTCGCCAGCCACTGCTCTCTGCCCCAGCGATCCGGTAGCCCACTTCGCGCGATGGCGGCAAGACAGTCTTCGTATTGGCCCCGCCCGATGGGACCGAAGCCCGCGGTCATGCCAGTCAAATAATGGTTGCCTGGTATCAGAGCAGAAATGTACATCCACTTGGACAAGAGCGCCAGAGCCCAGAGGCGACATATGCCACTCAGGGGGCGGTTGGACGGAAAGAACCAAAGGACTCCAACCAAGGTAAGTTGAAACAGGCTAGATTTGAGGATGGCATCCTGGGTGTTCTCGTAGCACAACCTATAAAAGCTCTGGCGAGACTCCTGGCTGGAAAGCTGCTGGAGCACCCAGTGGATGCTCTGGAGCAAGGAGCGGACGGGCGAAATGATGAATCGTTGGGCCCCGGTCAGGGTCAAGGGAGCCAAGTCCGGCAGGAGAATCATCATGAATGTGGTAAGAATTATGGCTTGGAAGAGTAAGGTGCCCCCGTTGGTCAGATCGAGGTACGTCAGCACGTCGAGGCTGGAGGCGTGCTCGGGATCGGTGACCTGCCCGTAGAAGAAGAGCTGTTCCGCGGCGTTCGACATCTTGTCGACGAGGTCGAAATTGAAGCTCAGGGGGTTTGTGTGGAAGGTTTTATGAAGTGACGGTGTTGAAGTGATGAGACGATTGGCCTTAGAGGTCTGTGGTATGGTCAGTGGGCGCTGCTCGCTTCTTGAGTAGGGAGTGGTAAAGATGGAGGGCTTACAGGTAGGTAGAAGTAAGATGATGAGAGATAGGTCGAGATTCTTTGGAAGCTTGGAGAGTTCTGTTCTTCTGTGAAGCTGTCACAATATGCGTCTGTCTGGCCGTCGAAGCTTCCCTCGGTGTCGGTGTCACCAGAGCAAGCCTCTTCAGGCCCCCAGACCTACGTCTGAGACTCTCAAGCGTGTTTTGCAGAGGAAGAAATCTTGTCTTTCAGCTCTGGGAAGAATGGAAAAGGTAAGAAAGATGGTAAGTTTGGGAAAGAGATCGGTGGTTTGAAGGAGAGAGAGATGTAGAAGAAAGATGGTGAGAGGTGAGGCGAAGAAGGAGGGAGCTGTGGGAGGAAGAAAGATAAATATTGTGGAGTGATAGAAGAAGTTATTTGTAGAGGTGAAGGAGAAAGTGAGGGTCGGTTGCTACGGAGAGTGAGGGAGTATCAGGTGAATATCAAACTTATGTTGTCGTGGGGAGAACCAAGTATCATCGCCCATAGTAACATGATCACTTCACACTTCCAGGCACACATGTTTCAAAACAAGAGCACTACCAAAGTGACTATGACATAGAGGCAGAGACCACTTAATATACTACTTGACCATCAAAGAACAAATCTACCAGCTTGTAACTATACACAACTAGCTAGAACGCAGAAAGCAAGCATTGTATATGAAAGAACCCTGCCATACAAGCTTGATAGATCAAAGAACTTTTGCTGTATTCCACAAAGCATTGCTACTTTATATGCATATATACAAACACCAAGTGGCTCTGCCCCATTAGATTGGTCTGCCTCCTCATCCATACCACCAGGCTAATATCTACCCGTTCTTATCTACTTGGACCCAACTATTATACGTAGTGATATATCTTGATCGTACCTCCGTGCTACTCAAGCCTGATTCTTCTTTGGCATCCTGGGCAAGCCCAGCCACAGCAGCAAGATTCCTCCAGAGAGTCCGATGATGAAGGGCTGCAACACTTTGACTCCGCGTGCCTGCGCAATAGCACCCACAGCGAACGGCAGAATAGCAGCCCCTCCGCCGCCAAACGCGGCAGCGAACCCAATGGCACTGACGTGCAGATGGCGAGGGAGGAGCTTGGTTGCCACCACTACCGCGGCCGGGAAGAACGGTCCTAGGAAGAACCCTTGCAGAGACACGGCCACCGCGGACGAGTAGAAGTTCGGGACCAACCAGAGGACAAGACCTGCGGCGATAGCACAGCAGGAGTATACCTGTGGAGGGACGAGGTCAGAAAGAACCGGGCATGGGTCATATTTTAGGAATTGAGAGGTGGAATGTTGGACTTATGGATCCTAGCACGGCGAAGAATAGCTGGACTGTGCAATACAATGGGAAAAGGAAACATACTATGATTGCCAACTTCTCGCCAATGCGCGGGGTGATAAATCCGAGCGCCATGCGCCCGACAGTGATTCCAAGCCAGAACCCGGTAGCGGTCATCCCACTTGCGAAGGACTGACCATGGCGGACCTGGATCATGAATGTCACTATCCAGCCGCCGAGAGCGACTTCGATGCCGACATAGCCCAGCAGGAAGATGGCACAGATCCAGGTAACCCGCGCATAAGACTTCTTGAACAGCACTTCACGAAGCCCCGCCTTGTTCTCGTCATCTGACTGTGGCTCTCTCGCTTTGTCTCGTTCTGCCGATGCATCCCAGAAGGCTGAGGCACAGACGGCCAGTTCAGTGGCCGCGCAGGCGATCTGCGGACGTCGAAAGAAGAAACAGGTAAGCAAAAGCTGAGTGACACAGAGGCCGGATGACGTTTTGTGGGGAACACCAGAACACCAGTCTTACCAGGATATAGTAGTAATAGTACCACGGAAGATGGGCCTTCGTGATCAACGACGTTGCGATTAGAGGGCTGATCACACCTCCAACGCCGTAGAGCCCGTGCAGCAGGCCCAGAATCTGGTTAGAGTCGGCCATGTTACCTATCCATGCATTCCACGAGGCATCCCCAAGTCCATTTCCGAAGCCTGCGAAGATAAATGAGACGACCAGGACCGGATACGGAGGGTGACAGCAGTTGATGATATACGCGATCACATGACAACTCGGCGTCAACACGGCCACGCCTCGACGGCCTAATTTGTTGTGAATTCGGCTGTTCAGAAACGCAGCCGCGGTGTAGCCGACTAGCGGTGAGAAGAAGACGAGCGACACCACAGTGTAGGAGAGGCGGTAGTAGCTTTCCAGCTGCGGCAATTGTTCAGTGGCGATCACACAGCTCTATGACGGTCGAAATGCTTACATAGGGAATAAGAGGCTACTATGGTCAGCTTCGATCAATTTTCCAGGTGACAAGGGTATTGCTGACCACTCACCCCGTAGGCGGCATCATTCATACCCATGACCAGGAAACTCCAGAAGGTGGCGAGGGTCTTGAAGACATTGGAGCGAGGATGGTTCCATCGCTCAGCCTCGTGGAAGACTTGCGCCGGTTCCTCGTTGGAGTCGAGAACATTCGCCTGGTTCAGGTTGCTGATGGGAATCGACTCCTCCATTCCAGCCATGTTGGGGTCAAAAAAAAAAGTCCAAGTGGAGGAGTGCGTTTGGACCCAGCAGAGTGAGGGGAAGCTCGCAGGAATATATATGAGGGTCACTGCCGTGCCAAGGCTGCCAAGTTGGTAGCAATGATGATTCCGATTCAATGGTTGATAGGTTAGCGGTGGAGACCCCATACTGGGTCCCTGGGCCCTGAGCCAGCCCTCAGGGCATGCTGGCTCATTACCCATTTTAGGCTTATTTGCACGAATCCCCACCATTTTACCTGGCAATCGCCGTGTCTGGTATGAGGTCACCTCACAATGTGCAAATCTCGCAGTCATGGCGGTGCCAACACGAGACCACAGCTCTCTAGATGTATATAATCGCTTTGGTCGGTCTTTTATCCTTATCTGATCAAAGGGGACTCCTTGCATCAAACTTTATCTAAGATTTTCTTGATTGACACTCACTCCCCTGGTCGGTTACACGGCATCATACACAGTAAGATGATTGGAGTCTGAACATGCAGTTTGCTTTCGACCCGGTCTTCATCCGGCTGGCCTTGAGCTCCCATACATACACGTAGTGAACACAATTCTATCAGGAGTGAATCAGCATGCACATGGAAGCACTGTTACGCATGTACAATTTGGTGCGATCATGATGCCGACGATACCACTGTACTCAGATAGATGAACTGGATACACGGTCTGATTGAAGCGATGACAACGGGTCTGCGATGAATCAAAAAGGTGTGGGATTCTGTACGCATGACGTAGGTTGGACGGATAGATAAAAAAGCATCGAGCAGGAAAAAAGACAAAAAAAGAAATATCACATTGCATCATCCGTGAATCGAACACGGGCCTCATCGATGGCAACGATGAATTCTACCACTAGACCAATGATGCTGGTTGATATGTTCTACAAAGTTAATAATTACTATGTAATAACTGCATCCAACGAGGAGAAGACAAAGCCTACCTACTAAGTCCTGTCCGCTTGCCTTATACCAGTGCCGCTACTTTTGTAAGGACGGTATATAACTGGGTACACTCTCCTCTCTATGAAGGCCATATGCACATGTGTCAGTCTTTTTGGCTTTGAGCAGAATAATGACGCGGAATCTTCCTAATCTTCTCAAGCATCCCTTCAAGGCGTTTTGCCAGTCGCCCTGGGCATTGTCGTCCGCCCTTCCACCCTGAATTGACCCGTCCTTGCTGATTGAAGAGGAGAACTCTCCCTACTACGAACCAGCCTTTACTTATCCGGCGCGGATCGGTGAAATACTTAATGACCGGTATCAGATTGCGACCAAGCTTGGCCACGGAAGCTGATCGAGTGTGTGGCTTGCAAGGGACCTTCACCAGTTCGTATTGGCCTAATCACCTTTTTTTTGAGGTATATACTGACTGTTTAGGTGGCGCTGGTCGAACGAGCGATATGTGGCTCTGAAAATTAACTCCAATAACTCCCACGCACGGAAAACTGCTGGTGACGTTGAGCTGGAGGTCCTGCGGCATATAACGAGGGCGAACCCTCAACATGAGGGTTGGTCTTTCGTTCGAAAATTACTCGACTCGTTTTCGGTCCAGGGAATCGCAGGGAATCATGTATGTCTCGTCTTCGAACCTTTACGTGAGTCACTGGGAAAATATTGCCAACGATGGCAAGATCGCGTGATGCCACCGGAGATCTTCAAAATCATCCTCCAAGAAATACTCCAAGCGCTTGAATATCTCCACACGGAATGTCATATCATTCATACCGGTAGGAATTCTTGTTTGTGTGATAGTGATCAATATGGTTCTCACTCGGAAGTAACAGACTTAAAGCCGGATAACATCATGGTACGACTGGAAGATTGGGAGCTCTTATCCCAGAATGCTCGAGATGAGTTTGAAAACCCACTGCCTCAGAAGCATTGCAACGATGGCCGCATTATCTATCTATCCCGTACGGACTATGGACCGCTGAAGGACATCATCGGACTGATTGAAGTCGTCGACTTTGACCTAGCAGTCCAAGGTGATATTCCTCAGGATGGCTGTATCCAGGCGGAGGTATATCGTGCGCCAGAGGTCATCCTTGATAGAGGGTACACGTATAGTGCTGATATATGGAGTCTGGGAGTTATGGTACGCGGTGCCCCCCCCCCACAAACACATACTAGCACAGACAAACTAACCATTGGATAAAGCTATGGAATTTTCTAGAAGGACGAACACTGTTTGAATCAGTGGATCCCCGCACCGTTGAAGTCTATGATGATGAAACGCATATTTTGTATATAACGTCGCTTTTGGGTCCTGCCCCTAAAGACTTTGTTCGCCGCGGCAAAAAGACATCGATGTTCTATACGGCTGCTGGTAAGTGAGTCCTTCACTTGAATATCTTAGATAGAACTAACACTACATTTCAGGAACACTCAAAAAGGAAGACCTGGTCCCTAGTAATTATAGCTT